ATTTATCCAACCTTTCATCGTACCAAAATAAAGTCCATTATTCCAAAAAGCGAGATAAACTTTACTATAACCACCTTCTTCTAATAATATTATATTTTCAAATTCATCAAAAGGAATTAATTTTAAATAATTTTCTTTAACAGAATTTGTTAATTGGGTTTTTTTAATAAATTCATCTAATAAATCTATTTCACTTGTCCAATAACTAAAATTTTCTTTAAATAATTTTGTTTCACATTCGTTACACCATAATATTGAATTTTTTTTTATAAGGTGTTTTACATTTAAGACAATATTCTGATGGTGATAAAAGTGATGAGATGATGGAATTGGTTGATAATATTTTTAAATAATTACAAACTCTACTAAAATATGTCTCCGCATAATCTTTTGATGACTTGTTTGATTTCTAAATACGGCGGTTGTCGCTTTTCTGATCGCATCTCTAAATAAATAAATAAAAAGAATTTTAAAAAATTATTAAAATAGCGCTTTAAATAATAATATGATAACTTTACCTTGATTTTTTATCCCCATTACTTTTTTTACAAATATATATATACTATAATTTTATTTACGAAAAAAAAGAATAATCTAAATAATCTAAATTTTGCGAAAATAAAAGAAAAAAATTCAAAATATATAATCTATATAAATTAAATTTTTTGGATCTATCATCTTTATGATTAGAATAATTGATTGGCTATAATCATATTTCATTTTTGGTTATTACCATCCTCTTGGGATGATGCAATCGGCCGCAGATCAGATTTAACTATTTTTTATTTTTGTCTTTTTAGTTCAATACCGAAATAAATTTTTTAAAACCAATTTTTTTTATTTTTTTCGGTTCAAACCAAAAAAATAAACTCTTAGTTCTTTTTTATTTTTGGTTATTTTTTTTTTATAAATTATTAATAATTAATTAGCACTAACTGAATAAAAAAGACCTTTTTTTACTTATTATTTTTTTGATTGTCTATCTACATCTTCTAAGTCTATTTATAATTTTGTTTAACATTGATCATTATATACCATTAAATTCAAAATACCAATTTACATCATTATAATCATCATTATATAAAAATATAACTAAACTAAAAAACTATTTTTTTTTTAGGAAATTTGTTATGTCTGGTATATATGATAATTATTATAATGTTGATATGAAATTTTGCGATAAGTTTATTATTTTTAGTAATTTAATTTTTTCATATAATATTCACAAATTCACTATAGAAAGTTTATAAAAAGTTTATTATATGATAATTGATTTAAATAAATTTAATAAATTTAAAACCATTTTTTCAGACTTTTTCTTTTCACTTTGATTTTTAATAATTAAACTAGCTGTAATCTGCTGCATTGCGACAGGATTAATTTATGCGTTCATTTGTAGATTTTATACCCACAGCCAGGCCTATATGTCTTTTTTTATGTTTGCTCAGGAAGCCATATTGATTTTAGCATTAGTGATATTATGCATTATACTGTATTTATGAGAAACTAATGTATTATACACTTTCATATGAAATAGGTATAAAAAAAAAAGACAATATTAAAATAAGTATTAATTACGCTAATTGATCCAAACCTAAAGGTAAAAACTAATTAGAAAAGAAAACTATTATTAAAAATAAAAGTCAAAAAAAAGTGTTTACCGTAACATCACAGCGTTAATCCGATCACTGATCTTGCTTAAATATATAAAATTAATATATATTAATAAAGGAAAAAATATTTTTAATTTTAGTAAAAAACCAAACTGAAAAAACTGAAAAAAGGAAAAAATGGCACCCCGAAAAAATTTTCTAGCTTTTAAAAGAAAAAAGGAAAATTAAAACCGAAAAAAAAATTTTTAAAGTTCGGATATCTGTGGTGATACATTGCATCATCCCAGGCTAGTCACAGAGAATAAATAATAAAAGTATTTTATGTAAATATTTATGTTTCATTACTAATAAAGAAATGTCATGTTACTAAACTTTCGTTAGCATTATAAGGAAAAAAATGACCAAAATTTCATTAACTGAAATTGGATTAGCCATTGGAACTTACACACGACCCCGATAGTATATCACATGTTTCACATCACACAT